TTATGCACAAGACATGCGATATTGGATTTGTACACTGGATCCCAGGCTGTGACCAACTGGGGAAAGGACAGACAAGGCTTGGTGGCTAAAGCTGTGTAAGAGTAACACACATTTGTTTGAAGGGTGACTGAAGCCTTTGTGGCATTAGCTGAAGTGTCTCAGCTGCTAGGCTACTTCATACTAACTAGGACTACGAGTGCAGCACCATCTGGCACCAGGACAGTGCTATGGGATTTTGTGAACCCTTTCTACTTCTAAGTTTTGGAAACTGATGTTTTCCTGAGGACATCTTAATAGTACTGCAACCACGTGAGATAAAAAGGACAACTGGCACAACCCAATGAAACCCTTCTGTAGCCTAGACAACGACATGGTGACACTGGAAGACTTTAAAACTATAGCTCCTTCTAGATCAACTACAGGGTATCCACATTCTTCTTCAAACATGCCACTTCCTCAGGCATCACAGTCACCTTCACATCGGAGATCCCACTTTGTTCCAGGACACAAGGGACACTAAAGAAGACATCATCCTTGATTCCATAGAGCCTCTTAATCATGGTAGAAATTGGATGCACCATTCTAAGATTCTTTATACTTTCTGCCAAATCTGCCACAGATGGCCCAATAGCCCTGGCTGTATAGGCTTCTTTGGTCACTTCGTAAGCACTGTCAACCACCTGTTTGCGAACCTGTTCCAATGCTCCTTATCCCTATCAGTTCCTAACTTGGGGTACAGATTCTTCCGGGTGACACCAGCAACATTCATGCCACTCCACACAGGGATGCTGGAATCTCCATGCTCCCCAAGGATCCAGCCATGGCAGCTCACTGAGCTATATTTCTGACCCCACTACTCCTCCTTTTTTTCTGTTTGCATTCTTTTACCAGTTTTGTGCAGGAATATAAAGATAAGAAAATGAATTAAAAACAATTAGTCTTTCCTGCTGTGAAAGTTTCACCAGCTGGAGTATTTACTAGAGTTCAACTGAAGTGGAAGGTAGAAGTATGCAAATAGCAAATATAGATTGTTTCCTTAATCATATGCAAACACAAACATTATTGCGTGAATCTTGCTTTTGCCAGAATATTGATTCACTGAGGCAAGACTATTGAGGCTAAAGGCAAAAGCATGAGATACAAGGACTCTGAAAACTGTATTGATAGAATCAAATTCTTTTATTTACTTAAGAAAAGAATATTGAGCATAATTATATGTCAGAACCGAGCTAGACATTGGACTTATTGGAAAACTAAATAGCAAATCGCTGCTCTCAAGGAGCTCATATTCTAGTGGAAAGATCAGAAAATTAACAAGAACAAACATTTTACATATTGCGATAAACAAGACTCACTAATAGATGTTAGATTAGAGGTTATCTGTTTATAATTGCTGCACAAAGACACGAGGGAACTTTCTGAGATACTAGAAATGTTTTTCTAGTTCAAATTTATGGCTGTACTTACAATTAGTGACTTTATGGATTAGTGACTTTTTAGGGTCTGTCATATCTTAGTGACAAAGTGAAAATAAATGCCATCATAGAATGAGATGAGAAAGGAAACCTATAAGGAGCTGTGATAGGAATATATGGTGTTGGGGACATCAGCAAATATCTCTCTAAGGAAGAGGGTAAAATTTTAATCTGAGATTTGATGAGCAATCAGGAGTCAGCCATGTGAAAAGCAGAAGAGAGCAGCTAGAGAAAGACTGATAAAGAGCAAATCCTGAGGCTGGAAAGACCCTGATGTCCTCTATGAAAGTGAGCATAAGGCAGAGAGAGGACTGAGGAAAACGTTGAAAGCTGAGAAGAGAGTACAGAAGCCTAAGCTACAGCCATAGCTAATATTTTATTCCAAATACAGTGACAGGCTCTCACTGGAGGGCTTTTTACATGAAAATAACATGAAGCTCAAATTTTGGTTTTTTAAATGCTACTGAGATAAAGCATCATTAAAGGGCATAAAACCAGCTGGGTCTGTTGCACTAGTCCAACCTTCAGATAATAGAGGTTTGGTCCAGGATGATACTGAGGGTGACTGTACATGCTGAGCTGCCATGGAAAGCCTCCTTTATGCGTTTTCCTAATTTGATTATCAGTACACACTTTTTGACTCCTGAAAGTGTCTCCAATTGGAGGACAAGTGACGCGGGCACCCAAAAGATAGCAGTGCACGTGGTGAGATATGATTGGAAGTACAAGGGCAAGGGTATTGGAAATTACTGGGGGGAAGAAGTGGCGAAGGAAGGAAAGGAAGGCATCTAGAGCAATGGTTTGCATCCAAAGATCACTTGTGCCCCATCTCCCATCCCTCATCCCACTCCAAACACACACACACACACACACACACACACACACACACACACAATTTGGCAATTCTGGCAATGTCTGGAAACAATTTGATAATCACAAATGGGGTCAGTATTCTAGTAGCATCTAGTGGGCAGAGGTCAGGAATGCTACAAAGCATTCTACAATGCATAGGATAGATGGATAGATAGATAGATAGATAGATAAGAATTATTTAGCCAAAATAGCAATATTGCCTAGGTTGAGTAACTGTGTTCTAGAATGGCATTCAGTTTTCTAGTGCTAAAATTCAGCAAATGTTAGTACTGTTTTATTAAAATGGGCAACTGGAAAGGGACTGTGCCTCTTGGGGAAAGTAAAATATTTTGTTTTAGTCATATTCAATTTGAAATTCTTATAATGCATCCAAATAGTTACTTAGAAATTTTAAATTTAGGGCTGGGGAAATAGCTCAGTAGAATAAGTGCTTGCTTGGCAAGCACAAGGTCCTGAGTTCAATCCCTGGTATCGCCAAAACAACAGAAATTTTAAGTTTATACCAACTAATACAAAATACGTGTTTCATTGTAAATGTCACTAGATGAAGATGAGGCGATTTTCCTGTTCTGAGATCATCTCAATTCTGTCAAGTCACTGGTAATATTTAAAAGCTGGGACAAATTATTGAAGTTTGCCTAATATAATTTTAGATGAATACTGTTCCATGAAAAATACTCTCTGAGGCTTGGGAGATAGCTTAGAGGTCTAAGCACCTGCCTGGCAAGCACAAGGATCCAGGTTTGATCCCTGGTACCACATGCTATGCTGACACACCATGCTGGCCACAGAAACAGGGAGTGGTGGTACACACCTATAATCCCAGTGCTAGGGAGGCTGAGACAGGAGGATCACTATGAGTCCAAGCTGTGTAGTAAGACTCTGCACCAAATAAAAAAATAAAAAATATTTTAAAAACCAAAAATACTCTCTAGTATCTTAGCTCCTTGCCTATAGTGAAAACTAGACCCTAATTTCCAATATCTGTTAAATGAGTATGGATTTATTTCATACAGTATTAGATCCTAATATAAAATATGATTATATATTTCTCTTCTCCTCAAACTTCCAGGCCAGTCCCTGAGTCAAGAAAGGTCATTTGTCTAGCAGTATTTAGGTTTTTACCTAGATTTTAAAATGATAGAAGAACAACATTTTCTTGCAGTATAACTTTGTCACTGAAAGCTTCTCAATGAAAGCAGAGTTGATATCTATGTTTAGCCCACCTTAAGGATTCCTTCCTAGTCATCAGACTCTCTGCTAGCCTTCGGGTTGCAAAATCTTCAACACTTACAGGTCAGAGTGGGGAACAAGGGACAGGAACAAATACGCAAATATCAGTTACAGCAGGCTACATACAACGGTTAAGTTTCTTAAGGCAGCAATAAGTACATTAGCAGTACTAAGGATGACTTTGCTGGAGAGAAGTTTAAAGTTTTTCCAAAGATGTGTCATTTGATTTGAGTATTGAAATATGAACAGGAGTTCAGAATCAGGAGCAAGCATGGCCATATGCATGTAAACATATACAAAAAACCCCTTCACAAATACAGAGAGAGAGAGAGAGAGAGAGAGAGAGAGAGAGAGAGAGAGAGAGAGCAAGGGATTCTGCATGGGGGAATAACATGTGCAAAATCAGTCATTAAAATTATATCATATTGGAAACTCTGAAACAGTTCGTGGCAAAAAGCGCAGGAAGGAAAGTGCCAGGAAAGGTAGAAAGCTGGAAAGGTAGGATGAAATCTGACTGTCAGTGGCCCTGCACACCACCTGAACATATGTATTTTAGAGGTGACCTAATAAGCCATAAATATAGCAGATTCAACTTCTGGAGGCAAAGCTGTAAAAATATAAAGGACAAGAAGACTCTTATATTGAGAAACTGTGGTTAAGAGCCAAAAGAGATTACCCTGACATAGTCAAAGTTTATCCCAAGATACCTGGTTTAGATTAGGGAGATGAAGTTTATGCTGTAAGACTGAGATGACAGTAGGGCAAATCTCAAGGACAGAGGCCAAAAGGGATAAGAAAAGAGAAAAATCAGAAGAGAGCGGTATGACAAAAAATGCAGGTGGAGATGGCTTCTTGAAGCAAAAGCTGCTGTTGGTGTTTAGGTAGTGAAGTTGCCAAATGGATGCAAAAGGGAAAATAATTATTGAATTTGGAAAGCTTATTAGGTTATTGAATATCTTGATAAGGTATCTGCATTTTTAGCAAAGTGATGTGGAAAGCCATACTGAAGTAGTCTGAAAAAGTAGTGGGGTGGCTGTGTGGAAATTCAGTGGAAAAGCAAAAGCGAACCATACAGGAAGAGTAGCTGAAGGGAAGAGAAAGTTAAGGTCAGGATGCCTGAGTGTATTTTTAGACTGAGAGGACAAAGCAAGTAGAAAAAAGAGATTCTGGGGCTGTTGCAGCAAGTGATAGCCTTGGGTGGGAGGAGGGGAAGGCAGGTGCTGCTTTAGTAGTTTGGAAGTGGAGGAAAGGGAATTTGAGAGACTGCTTTGTTTTTGGCCTTGCTTTCTTATATGATTTAGGAAGCTTGGCTGGAAGGAGCAGAAATCCCAAAGGGGATTCAGAAAAAATGGTGAGAATGCAGAAAATCAGTAAGAGAAAGAGGTATAACAAACTAGTGGGAGATGAGAGTTTTGGTGAATAGTTTAGGAAGCACAGCCAAGTGCACTACCATCTATGAAGTCTGAGTCTTAGATTTAACATTTAATATGACTTGAGCAGGTGACTTATCTCGACCTCCTGTTTTCATGTATAAAATGGATAAAATGGTAATGTCATGAAAATTAAATCAAATTATATTTATTAGAGTGACCTGTAAATTATTCGATACTATTTAAATAATGCTATCTTGAGTTTGAACACTTGAAGATAAGACTTAAAGTGTTATCTATCACATGACTATGGCTGAAAACATTAGAAGGCTGGCCATGCAGTTATGTGGGCCCTGCTCCTTTTATTGCAATAACAGGATTTGTTCTGTTGGCTTTTGAAAGTCATCTGTGCTCACCACTATATCACCAAGGCTGTTGTATTGGTTTTGTATTCAGCCTATTTTTTATCTGTGTTCTCAATGCCCCCAAACTGCATACTACACCATTCCTCTTCGCCATGGTTATGGTGGTGTATTTAAAGTTCTACATTCAGGTATGTTCTGCTGAACACCATGTCCACCACATTCCCCTTGTCTTAATGCACTCAAATCCTTCCTGCTGAGAAACATGAGTGGCCCTGTCAGTGGACAGCGAAGCAGAAAATGCCATGCTGTTCAATCAGACCTTACGGTCTCCTGATATGCTTAGATAAATGGTAGCATGGCATACATGGCTTACCATATGCTTGTATACACTACTGAGAGTGTCACTCAACCATTGAGCTATCAAATGATAGTGCCTACAAAATAACCACTAGGCATCATTTAATCCATTTTTTAAATTTTACAGTTGAGACAGCCAAGGTTCAGAGAAGTGCTGTACAAAGACCTTCCCCAAGTCTAATTAGCTACTGAGGAACTGAGAAAGAACTAAGGTCTTCAGGACATGTCCCATGTCTTTGCTGTTAAGCTATGACATTTTTCTTTGTCAGTTCTAATCAGCACACCCAACTGGACTTCCCCGGTTATTATGGATCTTACCTTCTTTTCGGGCAAACAGGCCTGCTTTTTCATCTCTTTTCTGAGCTGCTATCTGTTCAACCAATTTCTCAAATCTGTTCAAGGCCACTCTGAAAGTGTAAATCTGAAGTGAAAGGGAACGCTTGTCCTTTGTAATATCCATATAGACACAGTGAATCTTTCAGTACAGAAATAATACTGTAAATTTTCCAAAGTGGAAAATCCTAGTTTTTACAATTGCCTCTCTGCTGTCTCAACTTTTGCTTTGCTTCATTTTTTTGATCTTAAAAATCCCGTTCTATGGATCAGAGTAAGTGGTACCCATTAGGATGTTAGCAGGACAGCTGACTTATGTGTTTGTATAAGCAAATAAGTTCTGACCTCATAATGTTACCATTCTTCATATAGTCCTCATTGCATCATAATATCTCTGTAACATTCTACTTTTTCACAAAGAGGAGATTGAGATTCCCCTTCTCAGAGAGGGAGAGAGATAGGGGCAGAATCAGGAGGTGGTGGTCAGATTCTGCAGGACCTTCCAGGCTGTTCGTAAGGACTTTGGCCTTTATTTCCTCTGAGATGAGAAGTTTGAGGGCAGAATGGTGATGTGATTGCTCCAGCTGCTTTGTGAAGAACAAAATGAAAGGGCTAAAATGGTAGAGCAGAGAAACTAGTCAGATGGCAATTTCAGTAATCCAAGCAAGAAATAAATTAGTGTGTGGACTATATTTAGATGCTAAATCCATAACCGAACTGGAAACTGCAACAACTTAACAATTACAAACTAGGATGTCAACTAAATATTTTTTTATTAAGAAATAATTGTTCATTGTATTATTTAATTATATTTTATTCTGTATTGTTTGTCTTAGCCTATTCTTGCTGCTCTACCAAATACTTTAGACTAAGTAAACATGAGAAATGTATTTCTCATAGTTCTAGGGGCTGGAAAGCCTAATATCAAGTCTTCCTCAGATTTGATGTCTGGCAAGAATCCTGTTCCTCAGAGATAACAATTATGAGTCTTCATAGAAAGAGAAACAGGTTCCTTCTATCTCTTTTTTAAGGGCTTTAGACCCATCTACGACCATGAAACTGTCGTGACCAATCATCTCCCCCAAGCTCCTCTTAATACCATAACATGGTAATTAGGTTTCAACATATGAATGGAAGGCACAAACATTGATACCATAGCACTGATTTTTTTTTTGCAATATTGAGTTGAGCTCCATATTTAAAATATTTACAAATAAGTAGTAAAGTATGAAGAAACATATAGTGTCTTGTGCAAGGTACTGCTGATAGTCTACAAAAGGAATAAAAATGAACCACAAGAATGTGGATTATAGCAACCTTAAGAAAGTGGAATGAAGAGTTAAGAGATGGAAGTAAGTTTGGAAGCAGATATAAATATATACTAGGCTTTCTGGAACATCTTAAAGATGTTTGCTGAAGCAATTCACAGTCATTATGGCCATTTATAGAAGATGTAATTGCATTTATATTTTCTCAATTACAAAAGTGATAGTCATAAATTTAAAGATTAAGAGAAACCATCCATGTTTCCACTACTCTGACAAACTATTAATTTTTAAAAATTAAGCCACATATTCTGATAATTTTATAGTTTAATTGGAACTATGTGAACTATTTCAATTTAATGTATTCACATAATTCTGTACTTCTAATAGCTTTTGTTAGTGTCATTTTTCTTTTTCATGTTTTCCTCAAATGTTATTTTACTTTTCATATCTAAAAGACCTTGAGGGCCGGGGAGATAGCTCAGTAGAATAAGCACTTGTCTGGCAAGCACAGGGTCCTGAGTTCAATCCCCAGTACAAAAAAAAAAAAAAAAAAGACATAAAAGGCAAGTGATTAAAAAAAAAAAAAGCTAGAAGCAAACACCTACTTAGCTATAAGAAAAGAAATTATATTGTCAGAAAAAGACAAGAAGGTAAAAAGAATCTAGGTGGGCTGGATTCTGTGCAGTAGTTGGCTTCAGTTCCCAGGAGTAGTATGAAAGCCAGGTATGCAGGTGAGACCCCACACGGGGCCCAGGGTTTATCCTCAGCTGGTTTGTCATGTGGGCCAGGCAGCAGCCACCTGTAGGAATCCTGCTGGAGGAATGGGTTGCTCTGTTTCCTGCTTCTTCACTACATCCAGCCCATTTCTCAGGACAAATGGATGAAGAACTTCTTGGTGCACAATGAACATTCTCAGGTGATGTCCGAAGCAGAGCACAGACACAGAGGAGTTCAACAGCGGGTAGCCCTGCTAAGCAGGAGGTGCTGAGGATCTGGGCCAGGACCACCCAGACACATTCAGAATAAAGCATGGCATGTGACAGAAGCCATCTTGGTACCAGCTCTCTTCCATGAGTCTGTCTCTTGAGTCACTTTTCTGCAGCACTGACTGTTGCAGACAACTAGAGCACCGCTCTCATACTTTCTTTCTTTCCTTTACCATGATTTTGGAACTTCCTCATCCTCAGGTCTGTATTTTCTTTCTTCTCTATGGCTTATGCCCTCATTTTGGTGGCTCACATACAGAAATAGTGCCGGGGGGGGGGTACTTTTCATTTCTCTTTAGGGCAGTGCAGGGGATTGAATCCTTGTGCTTGCCAGGTGAGTACTCCACCACGGAGTTTCTATGTGCTCTTCCACAACACACTGCTTTACCACAGCCTCAAAAGCAACAGGGTCAACCAATCATGGACTGAACTTTATAAAACTATGAGTCAAAATAACCTTTTTGTCTTTATAGGGTGATCATCCCTGGGGTTTAGTCTTGTGATGGAAAAGTGGCTAATAAAAGCATCAAGGTTCTAAATGAGATTTCATTTTAAAAACAGACACATAGTTTGGGGGAATACAGACAGGTATAGTTTATATACTAAACTGTTACCCATATTTCACCCTTCTGAGGAGGTGTAAGAACATGGAGAAATGAAAGAACCTGAAAAATGCTGGATTCTTTTTTTTTAATCTTATGTTCATTTATTTGGTCCAGGGTCTTGCTATGCCGCTCAGGCTCATAGTGATCCTCCGGGCTCAGCCTCACCAGAGCTGGGATTGCAGGCATGCTCCACCACACCCAGTCTGGGAGCAGCTCAATGTGCCCTGGGTTCTAGGGCCAACACGGCATGGGGTACCAGGGATCAAACCTGAGTCCTTGCACTTAGACCATCTATCTCCCCAGCCCTATATATTTTTTTAGGTTCAATTATATTCCCTAAATTACATTCCTAAACGAAGAAAGGTACAGATACATTGGGCAAGATTTTGCCCAATGGAGTACAGGGCAGGGAATGACATTTCCCCAGCCCTAGGAAGCAGATTACTTGATTTAGTGAGGGTAGTTCTTTCTCAGCTGATACATGCATGACCCACAAGGCTAGGGAGTATCAGTTATTTCAAACAAGAGTGTCAGAGAAAACAGTCACCATTCCTCCTTCTGAATACTCTGCAAAGGACATTCTTGGAATATAGATGGCTTAGCACTCTGGTGTAGAAAGATACTGAACTTCTTTGGCCTTAAGACTATTCTCACAAAGCAAAAAGGCTTGAGGAATTCCCACATTCTAGAGGAAAGCCCTGGAAAGAGGCAGTTCAGAGGCACTGGGAACCCATTCTGCATGAGGATGCTCATTACCACACCCAAACTACTTAGGAGAATGTGACAAGTTCATTAAGAGACTGAGGACAGCCTTAATGAGCACCTGGAGGAGACATCACCTTGCCTCAGTTCTTTCCATCCAAGGACACTGACCAGAGACACTGGGGATAGCCAGTCTCCACAGAAGACAAATTCTTGAATTGGGTGGGCAAGGATGGATACATATTCACATATTCCACCTTAGCACCCTCATGGGCTGCTGCAGTTGCTGCCAGCAACTATAGCTTCACTCTCTGCTCCTGACTCATCTACTTCCAGTCAATTAAACCAGTTCCAGCTAGCTATTGCTGGCCTTCAGCCACACAGGCCCTCCCTCCTGAGCCTTCTGATTCCTATCTGTTCAAATGGTGTCATCTAACACCCACCTGAGATGACTGTCAGAAATTCCTTCTGAGTTTCACATTTTGATTGAGGAAAAATTGGACTGTCAGCCCTGACAAATGAGTTGCCATGGCCTATCCCAAAGATCACTCTACTGAGAAGCATAAAATCAGCCAAGCACTTCTTAAGGACATCAAAGAGAGAGGACAAAAAGCAAATGTCCTCTTTGTCAGGAAAAGGTCACCATCACTGGGGCAACTGGGATTCTTGCCTCTTGCCTCTTCTGCAGGCACAATCTTACAGCCTGGGAGGCCATCTCACCTAACATGAATTTCTTGCATAAGCCAGTCCCTATACCACTTCCAGGAAGAGACTTCCACTTCAAATTAGAAGCAACTGTTTCCTTTGCACCAAGCTATTCAGCCTCCCTCTCCTTTAATCCTGCACTTTCAAATCTGACCGTTGCTAGAGAGGAAAGTGGTGCCTGCATCAGCCCGAGACAATAACTACAATCCTGAAATTCTAAAAACTCTCCTCCCAGTGGTATGGACTGAAGATCTGCCTCCAGGCCTGGCTACCAACCATTGCTGTCAGACAATATCCAAAGTCATGGGAAGTACACAGGCATCCAATCACGCCTGAATTGACTAACGCCATTTGGAATCCTGATAGACTGCTAAGCACCTTAACAGTTAACAGACTGTTAAGCTCCTCCAACTAAAAACACTCAATGGGGATTACCAGTCAATGCAAGATCTCCATGGCATCAACAATGAAGCCATCACCTTGCACTGTGCGGTTCCCAACCCATACACCCTTCCTGGACTACTACCTCCAGATGCCACCTGGTTTTCATGTCTGGATTTAAAAGATGCCTTCTTCTGCTTGTAGGTTATGCTGTAAGGAAAAATCTTTGACTGGGAAGATCCTGAGACAGGATAAAAGGGCCAGCTCACTTGGACTCAACTGCCACCGGGGCTTAAGAACTCTCCCACTATTTTCAGGAAGCTTTCAAAACAGATTTAGCCAAGCTACCAGCACCTTTTCTCTGTCCTCTCCTGCTCGCCATCATGGACCCTCAAGGAAAAAAAAAATAGACTGTCAACGTGCTAAAATACACTTCTCCTGCTTATGAACCCAGTTCAGGATCTCTGATGGCCAAAGTCTCCATGA